CGCCGCGCGCGCGCACTGGGCGTGAGGTCCGGCCCGGCCGTCTCTCTCGTCCTCCCGCTGTGCACACCTTAGGGGCCTCGTAACCGGTACCGAGTGGGGACCGCTGGACTAGGTCGACAAGGAGGGAGCCCGGGGACAGAGCGCCAAGCACCCTCAGTCTGCCACCCACAGGTGCCCCGGCGCCCCCTACGAGACCCAGCTGGAGCATGGCGGGGTCAGGCCGCTCCGCCCTCCATCCATCCCTTCTCTTCGGTGGCTCGGCAAGGTCAGTCGCTCCCAGCTGCCTGGTGAGACAGGTGCGAGGGAGCCTGGAAAGAGGGGCCCTGCAGCTGGGGCTGAGCAGGTGTTGGGGTGTCGGTGTTACTAGGGAGCACTTGAGCGCTGAGGGTCAAAGCTTGTTTTATACCTGCGGGGTGGCCTCAGCCCTCAATGCCACTCAGCTCTGAGTGGCCACGCCCAGCTGTGCAGGGGACTTGGGATTGTCCTATTCTCCTCTCTCACCCCCACCGGTGGACTGCTCCTGTGTTGGGGTCCCACCCAGGGTTGCTCTCCTACATGCCCTCAACTGGGCTGGAGGCCCCATCCGGTGGCTTCCTAGAGCCAGGCGGCTGAGTGGACCCTTGCCCACCCAGGCATGAAGCCCAAACCCCTGCCTCAGTGTCCTCCTGTGCCTCCTGCCTTCTGCTCGCAGAACCTGCTGCCAGACAGAACCTCCTGCTTGGAGAGTAGCCGCTCTACAGGGCATAGGGGTCGAGAGTTCTCCCAGCTGTGATGGTGTTTAGCCCTCATCCCTGGGGCTCCGGGAGGCGGCGTGACCTGTCCGGATTCCCACTAGGACAGACTCCAAAACCCGTGTTCTTTCAGCTGCCTCCCACTCGGCCAGCCACTGCACAGACATTCGCGGAGTGCATGCCAGTGCTGGGCTCCAGGAGAAACACGGCCAGCTGTGGTTAATCAGTGCTGTCTTGGAGTTGGCGAACCAGGAGACAGATGGAAAGAAAGCAGGACAGCAGCTTTGTGGGTGAGGGCGGTTTGAGGAAGGCCCAGAGGCGCCCCCTGGAAGGGAGCGCAAATCAAGGCAGGCTCCCTGGAGGAGGTGAAGGAAGCGGTGATGCCCAGGGAGGCGGCCTGCTGGTGAGACTGGCAGGCCTGGACTGTAGGCGGCATGAGCAGAGGTGTCCAGGCCTGGCCCTATGGCCGAACAGTGGGCCTGGACTGTACGTGATGAGAGAGGCTGTTGTCCTGGAGGGGACAGGTAGTCGCTGCAGGCGTTTATTTTGTTTATGGCGGCACTAGGGATCAAACTCAGGACCTTGCGCTTGTGAAGCACACACTGCACACAGCTAAATCCTCGGCCTGCAGGCATTTGTAATTATGTCTGTTTCTTAAAGGGCACCTCTGCAATTGAAGGAATTTTTCGGAGCCGCAAAACTTTGACCTGCTCTGGCAGGTTTGCCTGTACTTCCGCAAGGCTGAAATCTGATCCTGCCGCACAGCCGAGGGCCCCCCACCCCCAGGCCTGTATCCCTGGTCGCATTCCTCTGCTGGACTGGGCCCTGTACTTCTTTTCCCCCAGGAAGCATCCCTGGCTCCAGGCCCTTGTGCCTGTTGGGAAAGCACCTGGGCAAGTGGTTTGGTTTCAGCAGCTGGGCTCCACCAGTCACTCACGCAGCTGGTGTCTGACGGCCCTGCCCTGGTATGGGGTCTGTTGCCATTGTGCCCAGGGACTGAGGGCCACCGTGCTGGGCAAGGCCCCAGAGCCAGGCAGGGAGTAGGAACCCAGGAGCCTCTCCTGCAGGCTGATGTTGCCCCAGCCTCTGGGCTTCCCCGGTCTCCATGTCCAGGAGCCTCTCCTGGCTCTCAGCAAAGCTCCCTGAAAGGCAAGCCCTGCTCCTGTGACACAGCCCTGCGTCATAGACTCTCAGCCCCGGGCAGGTGTTGCTTCCTGGGGACACAGAGATGTGGGCCCGTTTTTGCCTCTCTGGGACTCCAGTCCTCTGTAGCCCAGATTGTGTGCTTGCTTGATGATGACTCCAAGGCTCTTGTTATGGGGACTGCTCCCTGCCTCTCTGCTAAACCAGAAGTTGTGAGAAGAGTGGGCTCAAGGTGCCCCCAGTTTTGCTCAGAGGCCAGGTTGAAGGGCGCCTGCATGACTGCAGTCTCCCCCCAGCTACCTGTCTCCTCTCCTGGGAAACATGCTGTTGCCTGACACCAGGCCACCAAGTCCTCCCCCAATGGCCCACCCTGCTCTGCCTGGCTCCCCACGGCTTCTGGGACTGAGGTGACCCAGAAACAGACACATTCCCTGTGCACCAGGGCTGATCCAGGAGGCCCTCCAGGGGCGGGCTCTGCTGCCCAGTGCCCCGGCAGGTCTTCCTGTTCCCACTCTACCCAGGCCCTCCACAGAAACAGAGCGATACTTCTGGTCTGTGGCAAGGAGCTGGGTAGAAGTTCTCATCTGTGGCAGCAGCCAGCTTTAGCCTATGTTTTCTCCAATGACCGTCTCCCCTCGTCCAGGCTGACTATGGGGGAGATCTGGTCCACTTGTATCCCAGAGGGAAGGAAAGGAGGGAGGCGCGGAGGGGGATGTGAGCTCTGGGCCAGGCAAAGCCTTTATCACTGCGCGTCTCCTCCTCTCGGCTGGTCATCCTGTGCCAGCTCACTTTCCAGCCGGCAGCCGCCTGTCCATGCCGGTTGTCCTGCTGGACTCTCCCGGCAGACAGAGGCAGGCAGGCTGGGGCTGGACTCCTCCTGAGGCATAGCCTGGGGCAGGGGACTGTGGGGCTTTGGGTTCCTGTCCATGCTCTACTGTCAGCCTCTCAGCCAGCCAGTGTCCTTGACCAGTGTAGAAAAGCGGATCAGCTTCAGGCTGGGTGGCGCGGGCTTCCTGTCGTCCCAGATGTGCACAGGAGACAGCACCTTAGATGGCTTGTGTGTGATGAGGCAGCGGTTCAGGAGGCTTTCCTGCCAGACTGCCATGATGCCGTTGGCTTTATCTGCCAGGATGGCCATGTGGCAGCCCCTGGTAAACTCATACACATTGGCCACTTGCCCCGCAAAGACTGCCCCACCATAATAGAAGTCCCCCTCATCAGCTACAAAAGCTGTAGAAACCCACCTGTGCTCATAGGGGAACTGCTGGCGGGGTACAGTGAAATAGCCTGGGTGAATGGCAGCCACCATGTCCCCCAAGGTCTCAGGGCCCCATGGGTTCTGGAGCACCGTGTCCACATCGAGGCAGAAGAGATAGTCCACCTCCTGGTGTGCCCTCATGGCGATGTGCTGGCTGATGGTCTCCGTCTGGCGCATGGAGACCTCCTCCAGTGGGTGTGACCTTGGATGGGGATGACGTGGAGGAGCTGGCCGGGGCCCTGTGGGACCCTGGGGATGGCTGCAGGGTCGTGGGTGAAGGTGTAGTAGTGCGCCTGGTAGCCGGGCACGAAGAACTCCGCCGACTCCAGGAAGTGGTGGATGAATTGGGTGTACCTGTGAGGATAACCTTGTCATCTGGGGCTCCCCAGATGGTGTGCCTCCCGGGGGCACAGGGTCAGGGCAGCCAGGCTGGGGTCTGCTTCCCAGCCCCCAACCGCAGGAAGTCACGCGAGTGTCACTCTGGGATCCTTGTCTTTCAAACTCCCATGATCCTAGCACAGGCTGGAATCACTTATCTGAAAATTCAGCTTCATATGCTTGGATTAGGGAGGCTTGGTTGGTAAAAGTCTGCAAATTTGCATAATTCAAAAAACTCTGAAGTCTGAAATGCCTCTGGTCCCAAGCATTTCAGACCAAGATGATATTTAACCTGTACTGACCACTGGAGACTGTTGTAAGCCTGATCTTTGGGGCTGTCCTCCCTCCCTCTCCTCTCCCCTCCCCCCTTTTCTTTCCAGTAGTGGGGCTGGAACACAGGGGCCCTCTTCCGCCGAGCTACATCCCCAACCCTTGTCATTTGTTTTTATTTTGAGACAAAGTCTCCCTAAGTTGCTTAAATTGGCCTTGAACTTGTGAGGCCCTTGCCTCGGTTGCTGAGATTTCCGACGTGGACCAGCATTGCCCAGCCTGGTCATCCTCGCAGTCACAAACCACACCGCTGCTTCCTGCACTCTTACTAAGTGCCAGGCCATGTTCCCGGGGATTCTCGGGGAGCTTTAGTTTTCAGGAGCTACCTAGAGAGCGTGTCCATTCTTCAGGCAGGACGCTGAGGGCCAAGGGGAAGAACACAGCCAGGAAGTAGGTGGCAGAATCAAGGGAAGGATGTGCGGCGCAGGGGTGGCGCGTCCCCACCCCCAGGAAGGGTCACCTGGCAAAGGTCCTTCCGCTTCTCACTGCGACAGCTTCCGCCCCTGCTTCCGTCCGGGGTTGGCCCCTTCACCAGGAAGTCTCTTCCCTGTCACGCTGTCGGCCCCTGATCCGGGCCCTGGAGCCCCTGTTGCTCAGGCGGAGCCTCCCCGGCCTCTGCCCAGCCCGCCACTCTTCCCCACAGTGAACACAGTGGCGCCGATGCTCAGGTTCAGCAGTTGGTAGATGGGGCACAGCAGCTCCGAGTCGAAGGTTCCCTCGGAGACGATGGGCACCAGCCAGGGCGCGAGCGTCAGGAGCTCCGGGGGCCTGGTAGCAGGGGAGAGGCGGGTGTAGAAGCTTCGTGTGGGTGCCAGTGTGACTAGGGCCAGCCGTGACCCTGCTGCAGGGCCTCAGCGTCCGCGTGTGGAGAGAAGGGACGGTAGCCGCTGCCTCCCTGCAGGGGCGGGAGGGAAGGAGTTGGCGCGGGGACGCTTGAGTGGCTACAGGAGTCGCGTTTTCTGTGCAGGCCGGGGGTGGCAGTAAGTGTGACATCACGGACTGTGGGTGGTGACCAGCATGAACTGAGCCCTGCAGCCCGTGTCACGTGTTCTCCCAGCCTCCTGTGTGGTGCCGAGAACAGGCAGAGAGGTTGGCCAGTGACAGCTGGAGCCCTGGCCCCTGCATCTGTGGACACCACAGCTGCCCTGACCTAGACACAGTCATGCCCACATGAATCAGGGCGCTGTCGGTGCCCTCCCCAGTCCCCACCAGGCCTTCTCGAAGCCTACCGGTGCTGCCGCAGCCTGGGCTGAGGGTACCGGGGCCTGCAATGAAGAAGGGACAGTGTGAGGGGAGGCGGCTGCCACCCGTGAGCTACACGGGGGAAGGTGACAGTCTGCTTACTGTGCCACAGGCTGCCAGGGCTTCTCCTCCTCCTACTGCAGCTTCATATTGCTGTGGCACAGGCAAAGAAAGGTTGTTAGTGCCTGGCAGGAGGCTTGGGGTCCAGGCAGACTCCCTCCTGGTGTCCCCACAGCTCCACCCACTTTCCTAGATGGGCTGGGGGCTCCTACAGCCCAGGGTGTTCAGGGTCCGCGGGGAGGAGGGCAAAGTGGTGATCACACACCGTGCCACTTGGGTCCGAGCTGACACTTGTTTCAGCTACTGCTCTGTAAGACGTGGGCTCTGGGGGCGGGGATTCTCTGGGGGCTGTGTGTCACCTAGGCTAGGGCTCGGCACCAGGTTTCGCCAACACAAGTCGAGGCGTCTGTGGACGGTCTCAGTTGGTTTTACATAAAGGAGGCTATCCTGGGAAATGTAGGTGAGCCTGATTAGTTGGAAGGTCTCAAAGACAGGGCTGGGGTTGCTCTACGGAAAGAAATTTAACCTGTGGGCTGCAGCGTGGGCTCCCATCTGAATTCCAGTCCACCCCAGGGCCTTCAGGTCTGCCTGGCTGGGCCTCAGTCACATGAGCCAGAGGCTCCTGATGGTTCTGTGCCTCTGAGTCCGCCTGTCTGCGTCTCTTGCCGGTTCTGTTTCTCTAGTGTAACCCTGTCTGAGACACCCGGTTCTCCTCGCCTGTAAAACCCCAGAGTGGCTGGGAGAATTAAGCAAGGTGTGTGAGAAAGGGACACAGCCTGTGCCAGCACCTGGAGAGGCCGACAGAGGGGAAGGACCTGCCCGGGGCTCTCCAGCAAGTGTCACAGCAGAGCCAGCTCCAGAGGGAGCCCGAGGTGGACGATCACCGGGCAGCCCAAGGACCAGTTTCCTGGTGCCAATGTCATCTGCCAGTTGCCTGTGGCTTTCCACCAATGGCTTTCGGATTTCTGTCTTCCTCAGTCTGTAGTCTTTTGTGTGTGGGGAAAATATCCCTCCCCAGGAGGACGAGTAGCCATCATTCTGCTCTGCCTCTGGGAATCCAGAGCATGCAGGTGCCTCACTGCAGTGGACATGTAGAGTGTTTGTCCCTTTGCTATTAGTCTCTACTCTCGAATGGGTAATTTTTCAACATCAGTTTATGAAGTTGCCTATCTCCCTGCATTTCTTGCAAACAAACCTGTTTAGAGTCTTTTCTCAGAAAGTGGTGGGATTCTGAGAAGGTGGTTGGAAATGCAAAGGGGAAACTGCCTTTGATGTTGGCAGCAGACCAGCGTTCTGCCTGCTCTGAAGGTGAGCTCCTTTACCCAGACACACTGTAGCCCCAGGCACAAGAATCCAAAAGCTGGGGCGGGCGGCACAGCTCCGGGGTGCAGCTCTTGCCCGTGTGCATGGGGCCCTGGGCTCGTTCCCAGCAGATACACACATGCAAAGGACTTCCTGTTTCTAAACTCCCGAAGCTAATAAAACGAAAAGTAAAAGGACAAATCCAAGGGAAAAGAGGGCTACGACCAATTCAAACAAAAAGTTTCCCACTCCAGTCTATTAAAAAATAACTCATTAAATCCAAAGATACACAAATTTGAGAGTGGAAAAAAAATGTGACAATAGCAAACCCATGAACACACCAGAGAGAAAATGGAGTGGAAAAAAAAAATGTGACAATAGCTAAAACCCATGAACACACCAGAGAGAAAATGCCCGAGTAAGCAGTTCTTCAAAGGAAATTCAACTCGTGGGAAGTCACAGAAATGAGGGCCTTGCTAGTAATCAGAAATTAAAACCAGAGGTAGCTTTTCCTATCTATGGCATGAGCAGCGAAGTTGGTTTTGGGAGACAGAGTCTTCCTAAGTAATTCAGGCTGGCTTTGAACTCACCTTGTAGCCCAGGCTGGCCTCAAACTTGCGGCAGTCCTGCCTCAGCCTACTGAGTGCTGGGATCACAGGTGTGTGCCTCCACACGTGGCTCAGCAGGATGGTTTCATTTCTGATTTCAGGGGGGCGAAGGGGGTGGTCTGTTCGGACCCTGGCCAGACTGGGTGTATGTGTGTGAGTGTGTGTTTGGGCTGCTGCTGTCCTTCTGGAAAGCCACCTTATGAGATGGATCAAGAGCCTGTCCACCGCAGGCCCAGAGAGTGAGCAAATCAGAACGAAACGCTCTTCACAGTGGAGATAGCTGCAGCCATCACAGGTGCGCGTAGAACAAAGGAAGCTGGAAACAAGATTACTGCTCAATGGCTGTTGGTAGAAAAAGGAGGAACAGCTCGAGAATTGAGACCCAGGCCGTGTGTGGATGAGATACTGGTGATCATGTGGAAAACAGTCCATTGGGGTGGAAGAGGCTACGGAGTGCAGAAGCAGAGCGATAACAACGATCTTCAGTACCAAGCGGCGTTTCTGCTGATAGAGCCGGTTACGCAGAACTAGCTCCATCAGGGAGCACAGCAAACCAGCGGCAACGAGCGGATGTGACACGAGAGATTTTTGTTTCTTTTCTGTTTTCCAGCTTCCTCCCTGCCATGGTTTGAATATGGCTCGTTCATTCCAAAACTCAGGTTGGAATTCAGTCCCACTGTGGGGTCCTAAGAAGGTGGAAACTGGATACCCATTATTTGTTTAATTTTTTCAAGAACCGCTCCCAAAGGCAGGGATCAGAGGTGCGGGGCACCACGCCCAGCTACGGTGGGGTGGAGTGATTAGGATTAGAGCCGGTCACCAAGGAGGCGCTTCCATGACAGAGGAGGAAGAGAACAGGAGACAGAACGTGCATGCGCCCGCTGCCTCTCACCATGTGACACCCTGCCTCAACTCCTAACTCTGAGCTCGAATTCAGCTCCTCGATCCTGGGCCAGCATTGTGAGTCAAATTAAAGCTCTGCTTTGTAATGGACCTGGTCTTTTGTGTTATTAGCAACCAGAAAATGGACTAAGACACTGATTTACTCTGTGTTTTAAAAATGAAACTTGGGCTGGGGATTTAGCTCAGTGGTTCCACCACCTGCCTAGCAAGTGCAAGGTCCCGAGTTCAATCCCTGGTACCAAAAAAAAAAAAAAAAA